ATGATTTTTGCTTTGTGAACAAAATTTGTCTTTTAGGACACGCGGAGTCTACAGTCTAGGGAGGAAAATATTGGAGGCTTAAAGGTGTTAGTCAGTTAAAAGACTGACACCTTTAAGCATGTAAATTTAATTTTTTAAAACTTCTTTCTAGAGCACCTCAAAGTCGCTTGCATCAATCCTGTTTCTCAAAAGTTTCTGCCTGTGTGTACTTCTGTGGCTGTAGCAGGCAGCCGGTGAGGTGGCTAACTCCTCAGCTGCTTCTGTGGGCTCCCAGGTGGCTGCCTTCAGATGGTTTCCATAATGATCAGAGGCAGCTTAGCAACATCACATCTGGCTCCTGTTGAGACTCATGGGCAGTTGATGGGAGATGCAGATTCCTTTAAACATATTCAGAATCTAACCATTTCTCAATGGTCCCACTGTCGAAAAGCCAACATCATTCTTACCTCTTCTGCCTTGTCTCCGCACTACGGCCAGAGAGAACTTTTAAAATCGAAGTCAAGCTTGGGTTCACCTCTGCTTAGAACCCTCCAATAATGTCCTAACTCATGAGAATAAGATCCAAAATCTGTCCCACGCTGTAAGGCCCTCTATGACCCCTGCTGCATCTCCCACTATCTCCTTCCACTCTCCTTTCATCCTCTGCCCACTGCCTTGTTGCTTCTTCATCCTGCCAAGTATGCTCAAGCCTTAGAAGCTTTGTACTTGCCGTTCCTTCTGCCAGGATCCCTTCATCCAATAGCCAAGTGACTTGATTCCTCACTTCCTTTTGCTTTGGTCTTTGCTCAGGCATCACCTTATACCCAAAGAGCTCTTCCTGACCATTTTACATATACAGCTCCTCCCTTCTGATACTCTACCTTTCCCTGGCTTTCTTTCTTTCAGTACTGCAGTGGTCACACTCTGACACAGCTATATGTATGTTCATTGTCTGATTCTCTACTCTAATGGGGCCAGGGCTTTTGTTTTCCATTGTTCCACCTCAGCTCAAGGACCGCACCTGGTGAATGGTAGTGCTCGGTAACTGTGGAGTGAATGAATGGGTGGGGGGCAAGCTCAGGTCAGGAAGGGAAGCTGCCTGGTGAGAATCATCCTCCCTGCCCCTCAGTCTTCCACAGCCAGAGACAGCTCATTTCCTCCACCGCAAGCAACACCTGTTTCCTTCACACTTTCTTTGCCCTTCTAGATGAAACAACCAAATTACTGCCTCTGGGGTGTGGATACGTCTTTCTCATGATCACAACTGGCATGTGTTACTTTGAACCATATAGAATTGTCGTTTTTATAGTTTGTAGTGGATGAATATCAGCAGTATCAGATGGCTTTCAGTGTATCAATGTTGAAGGCCCAGATACTAACAATAACTGCCTAGAAATTACTAGGACTGTTACTAGGGTTTGGTGCTTACTGGGTACTTGCTGTGTGTCTGACAGTGTGCTAAGGGCCATATTTGTATTCTTACTTAATCCTCATAACCACTGTGAGATGTAGGGGCCGTTGTTCTATTTTATGGATAAGAAAACTAAGATTTAAAGAGATGAAGTGAACTCACCAAGGTCATACTAAGTGGGGAGCAGCAGAGCTGGGAATCCACATCAGTCTGCCTGGAACTGTCTTCACTTTACCTGCAGCTGCCTGGCTGCTGCACAAAGGTGAAGGTGGTGCAGAGGGTGAGCTCTGAAGCTGCCCCCTCCTGAGGCTGGTGCTGCAGCGATATGCACAATAGAGCACTGGATTATTTCCCAGCTTGGCCCCCAGCACCGGATAGCTAGTGGCCCTGTGTGTCATTTCATGGGGCGGGGGGGGGAGTACAGCGTTTGGTTAGGGCACAGTTACTGGAGTCCATTTGGAAAATTGTCTGTGGGTCTCTTCTAGGCTTATTTTCTTGTGTATAAGGAATAGAGATATCTACTTCAAAATATGTTGTGAGGATTGAATGATTTAAAAACCTTCCAGCTCAGTCCCTTTAACATAAAAATATGTAATGCTCCATCCAGCACAAAATTCTGATTCAAATAACTCCCTGCATGTCTGTTATACTGAAGGAAGACATTACATTTTCACGATCATCCTCAAGAGGACAGACAAGCTGACCTGTTAGGGATGCAGATTCTGCCATCTGGTTCTCTGTCTGGAAGCAGGAGGGAGTGGCTCACCCCGTTGGACACCAAAGCCTCCATTGTGGTCATTTAACCCAAACTTGGCATGGTCAGGGTGTGTCTGAGGACAGAGGAGAGAAGACTCATGACCCTTTAGGAGGTCCCCTTAGGAGTTCCAAGATGACTCTTTTGCCCCCAAATTTGTAAGTATGTCTTTACAGAGAACTGGAGTTTTTCACATGCCCATTTTCCCACCTATGCTTGAGTTAAGGGCCCACAGAGTTATGTGTTCTCCCAGCTCCCCTGAAGTGGTTGTTTAATTTTCCTCGTTTTTTCCTTTATCCCTCATAGGACCCTTCTAGTTTACCCAGAATCCTAACACTAGAATTCTGTAGTGGATAGTGTAGTGAAGACTAGCAGCTGCTGTGGCCCAGAGTAACAACTAGCACCTCTAATTTCCTGTCACCCGAAAAATGGCAAAGGAGGTTTTTCTTTAGGTCTAGGTGAGTATGATTGCAAAAACTATAAGGCAGCTTGTTCTAAATATTTCAACCATCCCTCCTATTTTTGCCCTCATATTTATTTCATGGAGTCAGATCTTTTTACTCTATGATTAAAAGTAAAAGGCTTAAAAAATGGAAAAAGTCTGGAAAAAAACTACCCCCAAAATGTGTTTCTGTTGAAGCACAAGCGGGTGATAATAGGGTCTTCTGGTTCTAATGGGTCTTCTTGCTTCTGGAAGCAAGTTAGAAATAGGAAGTTAGAAAGTTAGAGAAGCACCTAGTGCTGGTTTTTTTTCCTTTAATTTTTGAGATAAAATTCACATGCTACAAAATGTACCATTTTAAGGTGTACATTTCAGTGGTTTTAGTGTTTCCTGTACAGCTGTCACCCCGGTACAACTCTAGAACATTTTTCATCTCCCCAGAGAGCAACCCATACCCATTAGCAGGCAGCCTGCATTTCCCCTCTCCCCTGGCCCTTGGTAGTCACTCATTAATCTCGGTTGTGGATTTGCCTCTACTGGACATTTCATTTAAACAGAATCGTACAATATTCATCCTCTTGTGGCTGGCTTTTTTCACTAAGCGTAATGTTTTAAAGGTTCATTCATGTTAGAGCATAATCTGCACTTCATCCCTTTTTACAGCTGAATAATATTTCATTATGGATATTCCACACATTTTTCATATACAGCTGAATAATATTTCATTACATGGATATTCCATACATTTGCATATCCATTCACCATGTTAGACATCTGGGTTATTTCTACCCTGGGGCTGTAACAAATAATGCAGCCGTCAGTGTCCATGGACAAGTTTTTGTGTGGATATGTGCTTTCATTTGTTTTGGGTGGACACCAGGAGTGGAATTGCTGGGTAATATTTAACCTTTTGAGGAAGAGCCAAGCTTTTCCCCACAGCAGCTGCACAGTTTTACATTCCCAGCAGTGATATCTGAGGGTTCCAGTTTCTTCACAGCCTCACAAACACTCACCGTTTGTCTTTAAAAAAATTTTTTTATTTATTGATATGAGACAGAGAGAGAGAAACATTGATTTGTTGTTCCACTTATTTATGCATTCATTGGTTGATTCTTATATGTGCCCTCACCAGGGATTGAACCTGCAACCTTGGCCTATTGGAACTACACTCTAACCAACCGAACTCCCTGGGCAGGGCCCTCACTGTCTTTTTGATGACGGCCATCCTAGTGGGTGTGAAGCAGCATCGCACTGTGGTTTGGGTTTGCATTGCTCTGATGAATAAAAATATCAAGTGTTTTTTACCTGCTCATTTGGTCATTCACATATCTTTTTTGGAGAAATGTATATTCAGATCTTTTGCCCATTTTAAAAATTGGGCTGCTTGTCTTTTTATTATTACTGAGTCCTTAATTTTTAAGTGAACAAAAAAAGGGAGGGGAGGGAGGCAGTGATTTAAAGTGACGGGAGACCTGAATTAGGTCACAGTCCGTGGAAACGGTGGCAGAGCAGACTGCAGCAGAGAGCAGGATGTGTCGGTGACGGGTGAGTGCGGGTGACTCAGGAGCTCAGGTGCAGTTTAAAGGAGTCCTCAAAGATGCTGCCTCAGGGAAACCTGCTCAGGGAGGTTTTGTTGGTGGCTGGGTTTTCTCTTCTTTTTTCTTTAAAGATTTCATTTAATTTTAGAGAGGGGAAGGGAGAGACAAAGAGAGGGAGAGAAACATCAATGTGTGGTTGCCTCTCACATGCCCCCTTACTGGCCTGCAACCCAGGCATGTGCCCTAGACTGGGAATTGAACCAGCAGCCATTTGGTTCACAGGCCTGTGCTCAATCCACTGAGCTATGCCAGCCAGGGCTTATTTTCTTATTTAAGAAATATTTGCCTGAGCATAGAGCCTTACGAGGTCTGTGTGTGTGATTCTCTCCTTCCCTAAGATGGGGGCTGTATGGACACTCCCCTTGGCTCACAGAGCTGTTAAGAACAATTGGTTTTGTAGCTTCTTCAAAGTGTGTCCTCAGATGAAATGTTCAGAAAAGGAGGCTTTTTAAAAATGTTATTTTTTAAAGATTTTATTTATTTATCTTTAGAGGGGAAGGGAAGGAGAGAGGGAGAGAAACATCAATGTATGGTTGCCTCTCATGCGTCTCCTGCTGGGAACTGGCCTGCAACCCAGGCATGTGCCCTGACTGGGAATCAAACTGTGAGCCTTTGGTTCGCAGGCCCATGCTCAATCCACTGAGCTACACCAACTGGGGCAGAAAAGGAGGCTTTTTAAAGTGTGATTTTTCCTTCCCTTGTTGAACAGTGGCCAGGACTTCCCTCCCCACTGCTTCTGGGCCAGCAAAATCAGAGTGGTGGGTGGAAGCAGCGGGGGCTGCTTCTGAGTGACTTTCCCCTTTGCTTTCCTGCCAGGACAGATGTTTCTGGACCAGATGAAGCCTGAGGAGCCTTCCAGCTGTAAGATATTAGGATAGAAAACTTCTGCAGAAGTTTTCCAGATCCAGACAATCTGCTGAAGACTTGCCTCACCTGTTCACACAATGTCAGGTGGGGAGCAGGGACCTGGGCTTGGAAATGGAGTGAGAGTCTCTGTGGAATGAAGGGGGTCTTTTACCCAGGAGGCTTTGTTTGTTTTTCACATACTTCTGAGGATCAAGACCATTCAGGTAGGAGGTGGAGGAAGGAGGAAGTCTTGTGACTGGGAGTCTGGGAGAGTTAGAGCTCTCTTCTCGGAGCAGTTTTGGGAGTTTTCCTGAGTCTCTGTCCTCTTTCCTCCTTTCAGCTACAAATCCTCACTCATAGTAGAGGAAGAGGCAAGGAGTAGGAGTTTGGTGGTATTTGTAACGTGCTTTTTTTTCTTTTCCTTCCAGATATTTGCACATTTCTGGGTTTCTACCTCTCCCCCTGCCTCATTTAAATGGTGCAGTCAGTCCCCTTATGCTGGAGGTCTCGAATTTGCCCCAAAAGCTCTGTATTGTTTTCATCTCCTATTCCTGGTTTTCCTTGATTCCAGGAAGCCATACACCTTCTGCCTCCGGCCCCTTCTCAGCCCTGACTCCAAGCATGTGGCCCCAGGAGATCCTGGCCAAGTACACACAGGTACAGCAGTTGCAGCCAGGCACCAGTGGCTGTGCTCCCAAATTGTCCGTGCCCAAGGGAACCTGCTGCTGCAAGCTCCCAGTGGGTGGCAGTGCCACCCTATTCACACAGTCAGAGGCCACCGTCAGAGATAGCATCTTAGCTCCATGTCCTCTGAGAATCTGTCATTAGGTTGGAGTATTATGGCACTATGTGCTCAGTATTATTGGGACACAAACGCATAAAACATGTTCCTTTCATTGATCGGATTTTGTCTGACCTTTGGGGAAAACAAAATGTGGAGAGAATTCGAGAAGCTAGTGGCCCCTGTAGCTGAGTGATGAATACAGAGCCCTTGATCTGGGTCTGGAAGGCTCGCTGGGACTTCAGCAGGCAGCAGCATCGTGGGTGGCGTGTCCAGAGTCTGTGGGCCTAGACTGGAGGCCACATGACAGACTCTTCCTTATCCTGGGTCTAGAAGGAAGAGTCAGCGGAGCAACCAGAGTTCTGCTACGACGAGTTCGGTTTCCGGGTGGACAAGGAAGGTAAGATTGAGTCCGTGTGTAATCGTGCAGGTGTCCTCAGGGAGGACTCCAGCTCCCATGACTCTGTTTATGCAGATGACCCACGCAGCTTAGTTGACCTGCACCCTTCAAACCCAGGCTGTTCAAGGGCCAGCTGGTGGTTGGCAGGCTTTGTGCTCAGGGAGCCGATGGGAGTTATGCAGATTTTTGACTGTGAGGGCAGATGGTCCCCCTAACCCCTGTGTTGTTCAAGGGTCAGCTGGGTGTGGACACCTATGATTTTTTAGATTAATTTTATTAATCTTTATATGATAACAAAAGCAATGTTCCTTGTAGAGAAGTTAAAATATACAGAAAAATGTAAAGGTTAAAACAACTTAATCTGGTGTGGCTCAGTGGATTGAGTGCTGGCCTGTGAACTAAAGGGTCACCGGTTCTGTTGCCAGTCAGGGCACACACCTGGGCTGCCGGCCGGCACCTGCATGTCGATGTTTCACTCCCTTTCCCCTTCCTTTTCCCTCCCTCTAAAAATAAATAAATAACTTCTTTAAGAAAAGATTAAAATACATTAACCTGAAGATAACTGACATTTTAGTGTATCCTTTCTGGTTTTGTGTTTATGTCTATATATACTTATTATATATAAATTTTTTACCTTTAAAGTTTAAAAAAAATTTTATTGCAGTTTACATTCAATATTATATTAGTTTTATGTGTACAGCATAGTGGTTAAACACTGATGTAACTTACAAAGTGATCCCTGCAATAAGGCTAATACCCACCTGGTACCAGACATGATTATCACAATATTATCGACTATATTCTCTATGCTGTACCTTACATTCCTGTGATTATTTTCTAACTACCAGTTTGTACTGCTTGCTTTCTTCTTTTAAATTAATTTTATTGGGTGACATTGGTTAAGAGGGTTGTACAGGTTTCAAGGGTACATTTCTGTGATACATGATGAGTGTATTGTGTTGCTTTTTCACCCCTCAAATCAAATCATCTTCTGTTTCCATATATTTGGCTCCCTTCACCCTTTAGCACTCGTCCCATATACATGTTTTTATATTGCTCATATATAGCAGCTTTATACCGTGAGCATTTTGGTCGCTTGAGATCACTTTAAAAGCATAGTTTTTCAGTGGCTGCATAATATCCCATTATAGTGGCTTTATCATAATATTCCTATAATCATGCTTCTGTCAGTGGGCCTGTAGGTCGTTTTCTACTGTAAACGTACCTGCTGGTTCCTGAGTGGACTACTGGGAAAGCCATTGTCCAGACCCAGGGTGACCTGTCACCAGGACATAACTGTGACCACAAGATTTTAATGGATTAAAACCAGTCATCTTCAGGTCATTCCTGTTTCTGATTCTGACTGCATTTTCCTTGTTCTCTAGTTGGCAGACAGATATTTGGACCTGAGAGGAACTCGGGGAACTTTCTTGTATGATACAGATATTCTGTATCTTGATGGGGAGAATATTCAGACACTTGTTTGATACTCACCAGAATGTACACTTAAAATTTGTGCAATTTACTGTATGTAAATGCACTAAAGGCGAAGCTGAGAAAGCTGAGGCTGAGTGTATGGCGTTAGGATGAGGAAGGACGAGGCCCTCTATGGGGCTGACTCGCAGCAAGGCTGCCAGGTTGTGGGAGCCTTGTCCACATTCCCTCAAGCATTTTGAAGAAGGCTGACTGTTGTCCCCCCTCCACTGTTGTATCCCCAGAGCCTTGGACAGAACCAGAGGTGATCCTGGCCTCGTGGAATTTCCTAGCAATATGTAAACAAATATATCATATGCAGGGGGCAACAAGAGCTATGAAAAATTTCAGAACTAGAGAGGAGGGGAGGTGGATTGTGTATAAGGTGGTGAAGGAGCACCTCCCCAAGGCAGGGACAATGGATCAGACAGGGAGGAAGGAGAGGAAGTGAGTATAGCTGAGGAAGAGGAACAGTAGGTGCAAGGGCTCTGGATGGGAGTGGATTTTGGGAATAGCTGGAGTGGAGGAAGCAAGAGGAAGGTGGGAGATGGGGACAGGGAGAGGACAGGACAGCAGGAGGTGCGCCATGGAGCCTTCTACACATCTGAGTGAGGCGGGCAGGTGGGTGGCACTAGAGAGCTCTCAGGGGTGACATGATTTCACTTGTGTCTTCAAGGGCACTCTGACTGCTTTGTGGAGGTTTGCTTTTAGAGGGGCCGGAGTGGGCCAGGGAGGATGCTCTAAAGGCTGTGGCAGTGATCCAGAGGAAGGGTGATGGCTTGGATGAGGGCAGTAGTCAGAGGGGGTAAAAGGGATGAGATTCTGCCTGTGCTCTGAGGGCCCAGCCAACAGTGTTTGCTAATGGATTGACCCTGGGGCAGAAGTGGAGGAGAAACCGCAGGGGGCTCCGAGGTTTAGGTCTGAGTATCTGGAGAATGGAGACTAGTTTGTGGACCTGGGGGAGATGCTGGAGGGACAGGTTTGGGGGGGAGTGAGGAGTCGGGCTTGCTGGTGCAAGTGCTGCTGGAGCCACGGGAATGGTGGCTCTGGATTGCAGGGGTGGGTCTGGGCCCTGGGCTGAAAGTCCAGAGACATTTTGCTTCCTTCCCTCTCACCACCGTGTCCCCGGGTACTCCCCTGGCAGATGGGGCTGACCCCACGTCCAGCAGGCTGCCAGCTGAGTCTCTGGTGGAGGACCCTCCACAGCGGCTGCGGTGGCAGGCCCATCTGGAGTTCACCCATAACCATGACGTGGGCGATCTCACCTGGGACAAGATTGCCATCTCCCTGCCCCGCTCCGAGAAGCTCCGCTCCCTGGTGCTGGCCGGCATCCCACACAGCATGAGGCCGCAGGTGAGGCTGTGGAAGCCAGACCACAGAGGGCCGCTGAGGGCTCAGGTGTCCCATCAAAGACTGAGTGCTTGTCGGCTCCTCCCCTCAGCTGTGGATGCGGCTCTCTGGAGCCCTGCAGAAGAAGAGGAACTCCGAGCTGTCCTACCGGGAGGTGGTGAGGAACAGCTCCAACGACGAGACCATTGCTGCCAAACAGGTGAGCTGCGGAGCACGGGGGGGGGGGGGGGGGGGGGGTGTTTCCCGGGAGGGGGGCTCCCTCAGGAACTGTGGGTGGTCCTGCAGGCAGGGGGTGGTCTGCCTGCTGTTACAGGAGCCCCCTTGTTAGTCTCTCCTTGGCAGGGGTGGCTGGGGAGAGCACAGCAGCTGCCTGGCAGCCCTGGGAGGCCCTCTCACCCACAGGTGTCCTCCTGGGCTCCCTGTAAGCAGCAGGGAGAATTGCCAACAAGGCCATCTAATCCGTTTAACTGGCTGCATATCTAATCCGTTTAACTGGCTGCATATTAGGATCACCTGGAGATTTTTAATATAGATTTCCAGCCCCCATTCCAGATTCTCATTCCATAGTTCCATTCTGAAGCTCAAGAATCTTGTTTTATTTTTGTAAATTCCCAGGTGAATCTGGTAGAATCAGTTACACGTAAGCTGGGCTCTAATCCTGAAGGGAAGGGGTCAAAGAATCCCCATTCCTGGGAGAGAAGCCCGCCTGGGGTGTACCCCAAACGGGGGTCTCCCAGCCTCTCTCCCAGGTGTCAACAGCATGGCGGGTGTGGACCCACAGGCCTTCAGCTGTGTCTCACAGGGTTTTGTTGTGTGGGGGCCGCTGGCAGATTGAGAAGGACCTGCTCCGCACCATGCCCAGCAACGCCTGCTTTGCCAACGTGAGCAGCATTGGGGTGCCCCGCCTGCGCAGGGTTCTCCGAGCACTGGCCTGGCTCTACCCAGAGATTGGCTACTGCCAGGGCACAGGCATGGTAAGCACAGCCCAGGAAGCAGAAGGGGTGTCTCCAAGGGTGTTCTCCAGGCCCCCAGGGGCAAATAATCTCACCATCTAGGGCAGTAGAGCAGGAAGCAGAGGTAGAGGTGGGAATCCCCAAGGCGGGTCAGGGCTGCCAAATACGGTGGTTCTGAGCCTGAAGAAGGCACGCGGTCTGTACCGTGACCCTCAGAGCGGGCATTGCTTCTAACTTGTGTGGAGACCTGGGTCGAGGCCCCTTGTCCCCCTGCCCTGGCCAGGTGGCCGCCTGCCTCCTGCTGTTCCTGGAGGAGGAGGACGCCTTCTGGATGATGTGCACCATCATCGAGGACCTGCTCCCTGCCTCCTACTTCAGCACCACCCTGCTGGGTGTCCAGACCGACCAGCGGGTCCTGCGCCACCTCATTGTCCAGTACCTGCCTCGCTTGGACAAGCTGCTCCAGGAGCATGACATCGGTAAGGACGGGCTGCCCTTCCTCTTCTCTGGGGTCAAGGATGGACCTGAGTCTTCCTGAAAGAGCCCACTGAGGACACAGCCCCTGGCCATCGGGGGTGGGGATGGAGAAGTGAGCTCCTCTGAAGAGGGCTGACTCATGGACATGCAGTATTTGCTGCTCTTGTTCTTTGATGCCCTGTCTCCTCCCTCCCCCTGGAGCAGGGCGGGCCTCTTGCTGCTTTTTGGGAGACATTTTTCACCTTTCTGCTCACTCATGTGCTTTTGGGGTGCCTCTCCTCTCGTACTGTTTCCTGCCACTGTCTCTGGTTTGTCCGTAGAGCTGTCCCTGATCACGCTGCACTGGTTTCTCACGGCCTTCGCCAGCGTGGTGCACATTAAGCTGCTGCTGCGCCTCTGGGACCTGTTTTTCTACGAGGGCTCCCTGGTGCTCTTCCAGACCACGCTGGGCATGCTACGCCTCAAGGTGCTACTGCAGCCCCGTCCCACCTGGGGCCATGCTGCCCAGCTTCCCAGCTAGACTAGGAGCTCTGTGTCCCAGACCAGCTGTCCTAGTGCCTTCTCTTGGTGATGCAGGGGAATCTGGGCTTCAGCATCATGTGGCCTAAGCACTGGCCCCTCCTGACAGCTACTGCACGGGGGTGGTCTCCTGGGGCCAAGGACTCCATGTGCTCAGCTGATCATTCCAGGAAGTCACACATGCCAAGGGGTGGTGATTGGGCAGTAACTCCCCCCTCCTTCCCCTCACACTGCCCAGGAGGAGGAGCTGATCCAGTCAGAGAACTCGGCCTCCATCTTCAACACGCTGTCAGACATACCCTCCCAGATTGAGGATGCAGAGCTGCTGCTGGGGGAGGCTATGCGGCTGGCGGGCTCCCTCACTGACGTGGCCGTGGAGACCCAGCGCCGCAAGCATATGGCCTATATCATTGCAGACCAGGGCCAGCTCCTGGGGACCAGCACCACCACCCACCTCTCTCAGGTGTGCCTGTGAGGGAGGAGGCTTTGCCTCACCTACAGCATGGGGGTCTTTTGAGGAAGCACAGAGAGCGAGCCCTTCCCTGTCTGCTACCCCCTCCCCAGCTCAGCACCCAAGGCTAGGCTCCGCCCCACAGACCACAGCTGTGGAGTGACAGGCCCAGTTTGGGTGTAGAGCAGACCCAGCTTTGAACTGACAGAACATTTCTGATGAGGTAGCACGCCCAAGGCCCTGGGCTGTCCCATGGAAGGGCTCGGTTCCCTTCCTCCAGTGCTGAGATGCCCTCTGCTTGGCTGGGCACTGGGTGCTGAGCCCACTCGTGCCTGCAGGTGGTCCGTCGTAGAACCCAGAGGAGGAAGTCGGGCATCACCTCCCTGCTTTTTGGTGAGTATCATGCCATAGGCAGGTGGGCCCACCCAGCTCCCTCCTGCCAGCCAAGTCTAAGCTTTTGGAGCCTGGGATAGGGGAAAGCAAAGATGGAGGGCAGGGCGGTGTCCCTTCATCCTCACACGCCGGGATGGACTCAGCCTCCTTGCAGTTGGGAAGAGGGCTGGGCAGGAGCCACGGCTGCCCTAGCTCTCTTGGCCTCTCAGGGGAGGATGACCTGGAGGCACTCAAGGCCAAGAACATCAAGCAGACAGAACTGCTGGCTGACCTCCGAGAAGCCATCCTGCGTGTGGCACGCCATTTCCAGTGCACTGACCCCAAAAACTGTAATGTGGTGAGTTGCAGGCTCCCTGTCCTGAGCCCAGTGTCTTGCTTGACTTGGGGGCTCTCCTTCCCCATCCCCATCCTGAGGCACCTTTTCCTTGGTGGGCCTTCCCACTGCTCTGGCAGGAGCTGACCCCAGACTACAGCATGGAGAGCCACCAGCGGGACCATGAGAACTATGTGGCCTGCTCACGCAGCCACCGGCGCCGGGCCAAAGCCCTGCTGGACTTTGAGAGACATGACGATGATGAGCTGGGCTTCCGCAAGAATGACATCATCACAGTGCGTAAGGCGAGCCTCGGGAGGTGGGTGCTCAGAGGCAGGTGGATCCTGGTTGCTGGGAGCAGGTGCCATTGGTCCTACCATCTTCTGGCCCCAAGGCTGTGGCAGATTATCTACCTTCACCCGGGCCCTCTCCCTGCTAAGAATTTCCATTGGCTTGGCTGAGGATGAAACCAGGTGTGCAAGCCACTGGGCCCAGGCAACCAAGACCTGCCTCCTGTTCTTTTCCTCTGCAGATCATTTCTCAGAAGGATGAGCACTGCTGGGTGGGGGAGCTGAATGGCCTGAGAGGTGAGGCCTTGGTCTGGTCTCCAGGTGGGAGAGGTGGGCTGGGCAGTAAGGCTGGTCACTCTTAGCTACAGCCCTTCTGCCTTCCCACTCCTGGCCAGAAACTGGGCTGAGCCTGTCCTCAGCACCATGGGGGGGAAGCGTGGGTACACTAGGCTCCTCACAGGACCCTGCCTCTCCCACAGGTTGGTTTCCAGCCAAGTTTGTGGAAGTCCTGGATGAACGGAGCAAAGAGGTAAGCAGGGCACAGGGTGGGGCTGCCATGGGAGATGCTGCTCCCTCCACCCTGGAAGGCCTGTGCCCTCCTAGCCAGGGCCTGTGTCCTGACCAAGTTCTGGCATATGGCTGTGGATGTGAGGACAGGGAGAGAGGGTGGGGTGGTGTGAGTCTGGGGCCTCTCAGACCCTATCCCCAACCATCAGTACTCCGTCGCTGGGGATGACACAGTGACAGAGGGGGTCACGGATCTTGTGCGAGGGACCCTCTGCCCAGCCCTGAAGGCTCTGTTTGAACACGGACTGAAGAAGCCATCCCTGCTTGGGGGTGCCTGCCACCCCTGGCTGTTTATTGAGGAGGTGAGTCAGTGGCTAGACCCATGTTCCACAGTGTTCTTCTCCCCAAGCCCCTGGGCTCTGTGGAGCTGGTGGCAGGAGCTTTTGGGGTGGTGATTTGCGCTTAATTGGACCCCGTGACTTCGACCTACCCGGTTGTCCCTAACACTATCCCCCGGCCCTCAGGCAGCAGGCCGAGAAGTAGAGAGAGACTTTGACTCCGTGTATTCTCGCCTGGTGCTGTGTAAGACATACAGGTAACCAGGCCTCAGTCCCTCCCCTGGCAGGGCATCCTGGCATCCTTGGGCAGGGGGGGGGAGAGGGAGCAGCCCACGCCTGCACACCAGGCAGCTTTCGTTCCCCACTTCCCCAGGTTGGATGAAGACGGCAAAGTTCTGACCCCGGAGGAGCTGCTCTACCGGGTAGGTGGGGCCTTGGGTGCAGCCTGGCTCCTGGGCTGGCACCTGGGGGCATCTGAGTGACAGCTATGTCTTCCCAGGCTGTGCAGTCTGTGAACGTGACCCACGATGCCGCACATGCGCAAATGGATGTGAAGCTCCGCTCCCTCATCTGTGTGGGGCTCAAGTAAGTGTCTGCTCCTGCTGCAGGTGTGACAGTCCACAGTTGGACAAGTGGCAGCCCTGTCGGGGAGCAGGGGCCTGTGAGCCGGGCCTTCCAGGACCCCGAGGAGGTGGACAAGTGGCAGGCAGCAAGGGTGACACCCAAAGGCCTTCCTCTAGCACAAGACCAGCTCTTGCTTTGTGGCCAGGGAAGGCACTTGAAGGTTATATCAAACACAGATTTTAGCAAAGTGACCAGAGAAGGGACTTCCTAGATATGAGTCTAGCAAACTAGGGAGGGGAGCCCTGCCTGAGGGCTCTTGGGCATTTGTGAGACTCAGTCCTGTGTGAATGAGATGTTTCTGGATTTGCCACCACCTGGGGTGGGAGGAGGGCTGGTTTGCAAAGGAACAAATGTCCCTGAGACAAGTTCAGGATGTGGCTGTGGCCCCACCAGGCTGGTGAGTATGTACTTCACTCTGGACTGACCAGCAGGGCTCAGGGTCCCTGTGCTTGGCAGGAGGCAGTAACTGTCTCGGATGCAGAGAGGAAAGGGCTGAGAGTAAAGGATGTGGAGGGAGAGGGGCTGTGGCTAGAGGAGCTCCAGAGCCCCACCCATGGTCCTCAGAAGACCCTATGGATGCCCCCCACCCCCAGTGAACAGGTCCTACACCTGTGGTTGGAGGTGCTCTGCTCCAGCCTGCCTACTGTGGAAAAGTGGTACCAGCCTTGGTCCTTCCTGCGCAGCCCCGGCTGGGTCCAGATCAAGTGTGAGCTCCGGTAAGGACCCTGCCCCGGTGCTGGGCTTCCGGAACCCAGTCCAGTGACCCTGGGGGTCTGAGGTTGGAAAGAGCCAACCTGAGCGTGACTGACAGCCTCCCCTTCCTCCCTCCAGTGTCCTCTGCTGCTTTGCCTTCAGCCTCTCCCAGGACTGGGAACTTCCTGCAAAGAGAGAGGTAGGTGGTTGGGGTTGGGGCTTGGCCCAGCAATCTTTCTCCTGAAGGGGCTGCTGCGGTGGGTGTGCTGGCAGATCAGTCCAAAGGTTTCCTGGGTGGCTGAGGCAGGGCCGTATGGTTTCACCTGAGTGCTGGCATTGTCTATAAAGGACAATGGCTCCTGCCACCTTGGGCTTCTTCACTGTTTGCCCCAGCAACCCATGCTGTGTGGCCCCAGACAGTGAGGGGCTGTCCCTGTGTGCAGGAGGAGAAGAAGCCCCTGAAGGAAGGCGTCCAGGACATGCTGGTGAAGCACCACCTTTTCAGCTGGGACATAGATGGGTGATGCTCTTCCTCCAGTGGCCCTGTCATGCCCAGACCCCTCCCAACATATCGGCTACCAGAGCAGCTCCTTCCTCAGCAAGAAAGCAGCACTGCCCTGCTTTGGACAGGGGCTGAGGTAGCCCAGAAAGAGCAAGGGGAGAAGACACTGGAGCTTTGGCCAGGCATCATGGTAAAGAGAGAAGGGGCACTGCCCTGGAGCACAAGGTGGGGGGCCTGGCTCAGTCTGTTCCACGCAGTGTCTTTTTGTAGGCCCTGGGCCCCAACTTTACTACTTGTACTGGTCATAAACCTCGTGAGGAGGTAGAGAGCCACCTGTCAGTTTTCACTCAGGAAAGGAATGGGGATGGCTAAAGGCTCCTTGGCCTCTTTGGTTTGTAAATAAATTGTCTTTTTGAGAAATCACATCTGTCTTTGGTCCAGTAGGGGCCATGGAGCTCTATGTCCAACATGCTGCCCTTTCTGGAATGGTCTAGAATGGAGAGCCTGGCTGGGAAGGTGGGGTTATGGCATGGCCCCTAGATGCTAGAAGGCCTAGGGCCCAGCTGTACCAACTGCCTTGTCCATAGATTGAACGCAGGCTAACAAACTGGGGTTTCTGATTTTATTTTAAAAAGTTCACACAGCTTCCCCACCTCTGTCCCAGCACTGGTTTTGGTGATTCCCTCCCCAGGCCCCTGTGGATGACAGTGACAGGCCAGAAGGGAGGCTCGGCCCCAGCAGAGAAAGAAGCCATAGCCTGAGGGCTACCTCTGGCCCCACTATGTGGCTAATGCCCCTCCTGTCCCAGGGCTGTGGTGGCTGCAGTGAGGCAGCAGGATGGAATGTGGGCAGGGGACCAGGAAGCACCTCTGCCCTCGTGGCACTGATACGGAGCAGGACAGGTGGGGTACAGGCTGTGATGGGGTGTCTACATGTCAAACACACGTGAAGGGTGGAGCTGGGGACCCCAGAAGAGGTGGTCTCCAGGCCATTCCGTATGTGCACAGTAGGATGGGAGGAATTGCATCCTCCTACCCCCCAAAATATATGTATATATGTATGGCGATATATAATATAGAGGTATGTACACCTGTACAGAACACATTTGCTACCAACCACTAAATGGTTACACTACACCAAGACATTAACGTGGCAGCTCCCCTCACCCCGCAACAAACCCCCACCTTCCCAGGAACCTGGGGTTGGCATCACTGGGAATGGGAGGTAGAGGCCCAGCTTGTTTCTTCCCTCACAGGGAAGGGAGGGGATTCATGCCTTGCCCACCTGAGCAAACTGCAGCTGGACAGGTTACCTCCAACCTCACAAAAGGAGGTCAAATAAACACCCCTGGCCTGTCCAGGTCTCTCAAACCCAGGGGTGGACCCAGAGCTGCTGCTTGGCAGCTTCTCTCTTGAGTGAGCCTGAGCCAGGGAGGGAAAAGCAGGGCCTGTGATTGTCAGGACTCACAACTGCGCAGAGAGGCTGAATCAGGCAAGAGAGCGCCGAGCTCCCTTAGAGTTCCCCAGGCTCCCAACTTCCAGCCCCTCAGTCCCCTGGCAAACCTGAAAGCTACAAGCAGGAATCCCAGTGTAGCTGCAAGTCGTGGCCGTCAAGAAAGTCTGTGGAGAAGAGGCTGGGGGCTGTGGTGCTGAGCGGGGCCAGGCTGAGCACAGGGCCACCTGATGACAACTCTAGCCAGTCCATGCTGTCCAGGTGGCCGTCAGCCAGGTCCAGGCCCATGCTGCTGGGCTCAGGGGCAAAGTGCAATTCCGAAGTGTCCATGGGTGAGGGGGGGTGGTCCAGGATGGCAGAGCTGCTCAGCATCTGGCTGTGGAGGTCATCAATGAGGGAGAGGGACTCTGGCCCCTCATGTCCACTGGTCAGCAGGGGCAGCCCTGTGCTGCTCTCCAAGAAGTCCTCCAGGCGCCCAGGGAGGGCAGGTGAAGCCGATGGAGGCAGGGCAGCCTGGGGAAGCTCAGCAGAGGGTGGGGAGTGTGTGGCCAGGGGTGACCCACAGGCTGCTGTCGAGGGAGGCTTCTCTTTCCCTGGCAGGGATGGTGGCTCCTTGAAATCCGCTGAAATTTCTGTCAATCAAGGAAGTACATGGATGTCAGAAACCAGGCCTGAATAGGACCTGAAGTTGGACCCTACTTTATACCACGTACAAAAATTAACTCAAAATGGGCCAAAGATCTAAATTTAGGAGCTAAAACTACCAAACTCTTAGAATAAAACACAGGGAGGAAATATTCATGACATTGGATTTGGTATCAATTTCTTGGTTATGATACCAAAATCACAGGCAATAAAAAAGAAACTGGACTACAGAAAAATTTCAAACTTTTCACTATCAAGAGAGTGAAAAGACAACCCATGGGATTGGAGAAAATATTTGCAAATCATATTATCTGATAAGTGATTCATATCCACAATAAAGAACTATAATTCAAAAGCAAAACCCAAGTGAAAAATGGGCAAAGGACTCATAAGACATTTCTCCAGAAGATACACAAATGACCCATAAGCACCTGGAAAGATGCTCCACATCACTAGTCGTGAGGGAAAAGCAAAGCAAAACCATGATGAGATACCACTTCACCCCCACTGGGATGGTCGAAAAGACGAGTGTTGGTGCTCTGGAGAAACCTGAACCTTGTATACTGCTGGTATGAATGAAAAGGTGTAGCTGCTGCGGAAAAGTCTCGTGGTTCCTTGAAAAGGTAAATATCAAAAACCTTGTGATCCAACAACCCCAACACCACTTCTGGGTGTAGAAGCAAAGAAGTGAAAGCAGGGACTCGGAGCAGCCGCCCGTACGGCCATGTGCACTCCTCAGAGTGGCCAAGAGGTGGGAGCACTCAGGTGGACGAACTGATCGACACAGTGTGGTACCCCACACGACAAAGTATTCTTCAGCCATAAAAAGGAAATTCTGGTACACGCTATTGCGTATAAACCACGAGGGCACTATTGCAAGTAAAGTAAGCCAGAAACAAAGACAAATACTGTATGATTCCATTCATGTGAGGTCCCTACTGTGAATGTACTTAATGCCACTGAACAGTAAGTACATTTAAAATCATTAGAATGGCAAATTTTATGTATATTTTACAATAAAAAAAGTTATGAAGAAACAGGCTTGCTCCCCAACCCTATAGGTCCTGTCCTCCCTCTTCTCTCATCCTCGCTGGATACACTGCTCTCACCAGATGACCAGCTCCCTCCAAGTAGACTTGTCAACCTGCCCAACTGCCACCAGTGAGGACACTGCCAACTCTACCCACTGGATTCAAACACCCTCTTCTGGCATCCTCGCCACCTCTCTCTTCTCTGGCCACTTCTCAGTGGTCTGCTGGGTACAGGCAGCACGCCCCTCCCTTACTCTACCATGTCTTCAACCCTGGGGCTCAAGGCCGATTCCTCCCCACTTCCTGCACGAACTCTCTGTTCCTGTCCAGCCTCACCCCTCCCACTTTCGGTTCCTGTCTGGACACTGGGAACTCCTAAAATTCACACCCAGGCCTCTCCAACTGCCTCCCAGCTCAGCAGCCTCAGTGCTGCTTGCTTGTCAGAAGTTGACCTCAGGTCCCACTGCAGACCCCAGTGTCCAGGGAGTCTCCCTAAGATCAAAGTCAGTGACCACGTTTTGAGCTATTTTTTTTAATTGAAGTAAAATTCACCATTTTAAAGTGTACAATTCATGTCTGTGCTCTCACTTTATTCTATCCACCTCACTTAACCCTCTCTCTACTGACATAAAGCAGTTAAAAGAGAAATTCCACACTCCTGCTTCCTTGCCTGCTGTCGCTTGTGAAATCCCCGTGCTCCAACCTGACGCCAGCCCTGCTCTGCTGCCCTGTGCCCTCCCTCCCTGCACTCGGGTCCCCCTACCCCACACCATCAGGTTGGCCCACTGGCATGCAAACATGCTGCCTTTTTTTGCTCCCCTTTGCAGGAAGCCCTCTGCATAGAGCTCTCCAAACCTGCTGCTTCTCACACCTGCTAGCCCCTATTCAACCTACAACTAACTTGCCCACTGTAGTGCCCTGGCTGAGGTCACCGATAGCCACCAGATCTTGGTCTCTGTCTTCCCTGACTGCCCATCAGCAGCCCTTGGCTTTGGGCCTTCACCCTCAGGAGTGCCCTCCCCACCTCGGCCAGCCTTATCTGCTTGTGACCCCAGCTCTGCTTCATTCTCTGCTCACCCAGCCTCATGGCTCTGACTGCCAATCTAGACACCAACAACTCCCCAGTTACTGCCTTAACCCCAGACCTCACCTGGGCTGTGTGCATGACAACTCCAGTCTTGGGACAAACCCAACTGAGGTTGCACATTATACGGCCCCACACACCCCACTGGAGCTCCCCCCAGTCACACAGCTGCATCCTGGTGACTCAGGCTGACATGCTCGATGCCATCCTTGGCTACATTCTTGTCCTCTTGCCACACTCCTCATCCATATCAAACTGGCTCTCCACAGTAGACCCTGACTTCTGACTCCGTGCTTCTCCAGTTTGCTGCTGCCTCCCAGCACCTGCCCTCTGCCCTCTGGCCTGGATCACTACAGTGGTTGTCTTGCTCCTGCCTTTCCACAATCTTCTGCTCAAAGCTGTTCAGTGCATTCTGGCACCATCCAGAGTCAAAGCACCTCCACTCTGCACCCACGAGGCCTCACAATCTGCCCGTTCCCTGACTTCTGACTACCGTACCTGCTCACAGGTCACCCACCGTGCACCTAAGATCCTTCCCCCCTTTTCATGGCATTTAGTCCTATCTCATGTGATATAATTTATTTTGTCATTTATATCCCATTATTTTGCTCACTGCTATGTCCCAGGGCTGCAGGGACAGTGCCTTCCAGGCAGTGGGTCTGAGTAAAGCAAAGGAGTGTTGAGGCTACACTTCCCCTCCCCCAGGGTCTTGCCACAGCCCTGGAGGTGGGGTGTCTTAGCCCTTGCTGTGTCTGAAGTTCAAGGTCTGTTGCCTATTAAGTGTTCAATAACCAAACAAAGAATAATCGACCCAGTGAGGGCTGGAGACAAGTTATGGAGAGAGGAGGCGGCAGGGGAGGAGGCCACTCAGGGGTCTAGACTTTACCTCCACTCTGAATAAGAATGTCAAACAGGTCATCCATCTGTTGACTTGAGGAACCATTTTCCTGTGGGAGAAAAAAAGGAGAGAAAAGTGAAAATCTACAACAGAAAACCCCCAGCCAGGATCAGGGCATACACCCTTTCCCCTCTGCCCCTGGGCTGGCAGCCAGACCCAGAGAGCCCACTGGCCTAAGCTCAGGCTCCAGCGCCCACACTTACCCCCCTGGACCAGGCCCTGGCACACCTGCCTGGAAAGGCCCGAGGCCTCTCCCAAGGCCTCTGTGACCTTACAAGACTGGTTCCCGCCCACCCTTATCCTCCAGCTGGGCTTGGGGGCACTGTGGGAACCCAGCCCTGTAGCCTAGGCAGCCACCCACCCTGACCAGGCCTCAGCCTACCTTCTTCACCTGCTGTCTGGGCTGCTGGTTCACGGCTTCTTCATAGCCAGGCGGCTCCTTCTTCAGCAGAGAAGTGGGGGTCCCAAAGCCAGGCTGTGGCGGGGTCTCCAGGTCCATCTGGGCTGGTGGGCCAGGGGCTGGAGAACCAGGCTGGGACAAGGGCTGGACATGAGAACAGTGAGAGAAGCAGGAGCTGGGGGAGGGAAGCAGTCCCGGGGCACTGTACACAAGGAGCACAGGCAGGGAGGTGCCCACCTTCTAGGCCGGGCCCACTTGGCCAGCTGCACTGGCTTTCAGAAAGCTTTCACAGAAGGCATTGGGGAAAAGGGATCCGGGCTGAGGGAGGCCCTGACCTCTGACCCTGCAGAGGGTGGGGCTCTGGGCTGGTTCCCCCTCTCCTCCCTTTCTGCCTAAGGCTACTCAGGGCTTCTGTCTCCCAGCCTGAGGTGCCTGGTTCCTGTCATTGTCCCCTCCATCCCAGAATTCTGCAGGGCTGAGGGGCCACACAAGGCCGGAAGACGACTGGGTCAAAAGTTTGGGCTGTGAGGGTAGCAGCGGCAGCAAGGAGCCAGTTGCCAATGACACTGTGGTGTGGGACAGCTGGCTTCTCTGAGGGGAAGGAGAGGAGTGAAACTCACCAGGTTCAACTCAGTGCCCACCCCCCCGCCACCACACCCAGATCCCGGACCACAGAGCTGAGCCTATAGCTGCTCCCTGACCCTCACGGGGGGGGGGGGGGGGGGGCGTCCCACACCCACGAAGCAGAGGCAGAAGTGGGCCTGGCCTTAGGGGGCTGCTCCGGAGCCCTTTGCCGGGGTGCAGAAATGTTCTGATGGCAACAGCTGGAGGAGGTCTGCAGCCACTGACGGCTCCACCCTTATGGCTGCGGGGTCATGAACAGGTACCTTAACGGTCTCAGGTCCTAATACCCTCTTTGGTGACATAGGGAGGACAATCCCTCATTCTGAAGGGTTGAAGGGGAAGTTAAAATGAAACAAGTCTAACTCGCCCAGCCATGGGAGCTCCTGGTACACGGGGCTGTCATTAGAAGCACCTTTACACACTCCTGTATCTCTACCCCTGCCCACAGCCACGTACCTGCTGGGGACTCCCGCTGGCCAGGCCAGGGCTGTCTGCATTCTTATTGGTCACGGTGAGGATGAGGTGGGTCCCTGTGGAGTCAGTGATGATGGTGGGAGGTGCAACCCCCTTGATGAGGCCGGAGTCCTGTGGGCCCAGAAGCAGCTGGGGTGCAGGGGCTGACTCTGCCTCAGGCAGCACAGCTTCCTGCTTCACCACCACCGCAGGGGGCACCAGGGCACAAGGGTCTCTGTGGTGGGTAGTAGGAGCTGCCAGGCTGGGGCTGAAGGGTTGAGCAGGGCCCAGGGGCTGCTGGCTCAGCTGGCAGCTGGAGAAGCTATTCTCTTGCTTCACTGGGACACCAAGAGGGGTCGGGGCTGGGGTAGGGACCGGGGCAGGCTGCTGGGCTCGCTTCTCCTGCTCTAGCTGCAGCCTGAGCCACTCCACCAGCTGCTGCTTCTGCCGGAGCATGCGAGTCAGCTCCTCGATCTGCTTGTCCTTTTCCTGCAGCATCTGGTCTTTGTCACGCCCCTCCAGCTCTGCCCGCACCCCAGGGCTCACGCAGCAGGACCCAGCCCGGGGACCCTCCTCCTTGACAAGGATCTGCAGTGGCGAGGCCTGCAGGGTGAGCTGGGTCAGTGGAGATGTCACCATCTCTCCAAAGGTGTCCCCAGGTGTGGAGTTCTCATCGCCCGTGCTGAGCAGTGAACGCTCTGAGGGAGTAGGAGACACGGGGGGCGTGGAACCCGTGCTGCCAAATTTCACCATTCCGTTGCTGGTCACTGTGGCCACCACCACCTCTGCTGGGGCTAGGCCTGCTGCCACCAGGGCAGGCCCTGTGCTTAGTCGGGCCGCTGGGAAGGCTACCACGACCTCGCCAGCCTTAGGCAGGATGGAGGTGGCAGCAGGGACCTTGGGGGCTCCTGGGGCAGGGCTGACTTGTTCTTGGTAGGCACGCAGGCGCTCAATCAGGTCTGTCTTGGTGCCTGAGACGGGCAGTGACCGCAACTTCAGCTCCTGCTTCAGCTCTGCCACCTGCAAGAGGGTGGAGTCAGGGCAGCAGGGGATGCAGGGAACTGGGTCCAGGCAAGAGGACAGTCAGAGGACAGGCTCTCATGTCTCTCAGGCTTCGTCTATTCAGGCTCACTGGCCACTTCGCCACATCAGTCCCTCGGCCCTCCCACAGCCCCGAAGGGCGAGACACATGCCCCAGGCCCGGCCTGCTCCCTTTCCCTGTCCTCACCGCAGCAGCAGCCTAGTCAGAATGTTCTCTACCCCCGTAGAGACCTGAGGACATGCCCTCAGATGTCCCCTGCCCTAGCATGATGCCTGGTGCTCAATGAACACTTAATGGACCGACTGGATTTTACAGATACAAACATTAAGCTCACAGAAGGAAAATAACTTTTTCAAGACCAGAGCTAATGAGCGGCAGAGTTAGGAGCCATATCCAGGTCTGATGGACTCTGAAGCCCCCGTGAGACCTCGGTGTGTTGTTGCGATCAGGGCATGATGCAGGGCAGGCCGGGAGGGTTCGTTCAGAGGACAAACTCTCAAGGGAAAACATAACCCTTTGTGTCTTCTGATCCGGGAGGAAGACACAGGCCAGGCCCCAACACGACCCACCCCTCCAAGGCCCTGGCATACGAGCATGCGCTGCCCCCCTCCCAGGCAGGTTCAGCACTTGCCCATCAGGTAGGGGTGTGCAGGGTGGAGGCTGGGGCTGACTGGCAGGGTGGGAAAGGCGGGTGTGGGAAGCCGACAGCCCCAGGTCTGAGTCCTGGCTCTGCCCCTTACCGGACCTCCCGAGACACCCCTGCTAGCTCATCTGTAACTGGGGGGACTTACCCTGTCTCCCACACTGCCCTGTAGAGGCCGAGGAAGAGAAAAGGTATACAAGGGCTGGGTAAGCCCCCAGGCTCTGGACAGATGCTGGCTGATGTCAGCAATGACCAGGGCCAGGCAGGCCTTGGAACAGGTGCCAGGTGCCTCTGCTGTAGACTAGAATCTGGAGCTCTGCTCCACCTTCCATGACCATGGATGCTGAGGGGGCTGCTTTCCCTAACTTTCGGGTGACCACCTACCTTCATGTCATCCAGATTGGCAGGCAGGGACCCCGGTTTGCCAGTTAGTGAGGTGCTGTTCTGACGTGCAAGCCCACTGGGCCCGGAGGCACCTGAGCTGGAGCCGGTACTGGTAGTGGAAAGGCTGCGCACTGGGGGGGGCCCACTGCTTCCCACAGCCTCACTTGCCGGCCTGAGGAAAGAAAGACAGGAGTGAGCACCCGCAAGTCTCCTCCTCCCTCTTCCCCAGGGCCAAGCAGAGGTGGCCCGGGATGAGGGGTCTGCCCACAGGCCCCGCCTGGGGACTATTCCTGCAAGGTCCAGACAAAGGATCCTTGAAGACTGGGGTTCACCCACCCCAGAGCTGGCCGATATCTGCCTGTCTTGGGGCACCTATGGCAGGAATGGGGGGAGGGGGGATTGTGGCGGGCTCTTACTTTGGTGGGGCTGGCAGGATGGTTTGGTAGTTATAGTGCTGCTGCTGCTGCTGGTTGAGGATCTGCAGCTGCAGGAAGAGCTGCTGCTGCTGCAGGATCTTGGCGTAGGAGGAGTCCATGGGGGGCGCCCCCTTGTCCTGCTTTTGGTCCGGGGGGATGTACTGGTGATACTTGAGCTTCTTCACCTTTGGCTTCAGTTCCTTGGCTTTCTTGCTACGCTGCAACTTCTCACTGGCAGACTTGGGTTGGCTTTGCTGAGGGCACAGGAGATGAAGGGGCCGTCAGGGGGCAGTCCTAGGCCTCTCCGAGGGAGGCCCCCAAGTGGGAGGCTGGTGGCCACCCTAATGCAATGGAGTGGCTTCTGAGGAGACACCGTCACCCACCTGCCTAGTCCCCCTCTCCTCCTACTGGACCGTACCCCTCCAAAAGCAGAGGCCTCATCTGTGGCCAGTAGTGTCCCAAGGAGGACACTGAACACTTGGCAAAGGCGCAATGAGGGGGAAGCCTCCAGGTTAAGGGAAAACCAATCAAAAGCACATGTCACTGTCATACCAAGCAGAGTGAACATGACACTGAGGTTAAAAGAGCTGGTTTCTGGAGCTTATGCCACCCACACCAGGTTCGTTACAGAGACCACGTCACACAGACCTGCAGGAATCCTGCCTGGACTGGGACTGGCAAGTCCACTTGAAAATGAGGTAACAGGCCCAGAGGCCACACAGTGACCTTGATCTTGCCACGTGAGGGGACCTGGAACCCAAACCCAGGACTCTAAAACCTCTGTTCCTTCACCAAAGGGGCCTCGAAGACCCCCAACTGGCACACCGAGGACCTGACTGACCCTGAAGGGTAGCGGGACGTGCCCAGGAGGCTTGTGGCTGTCAGGAAGGGTAGAGCTGGATGAGGGCAAGCGTCAGCGGGGACATGCCAGGCCAGGACTGTGGACAGCCTAGAGGTTTTTGAGCCGAGAGCACCAGACGGAAGGGTGGGGACTTGGTATAAAATCAGCTGGGGTCATGACTCAGTGGCGATGGGGACTGAAGCAAAGGTTTGGGTAGACGGACTAGAGGAAGAGTGGACGACGGGAGTAAGTGGTGGGTGAGCAATTCAAGGGTTTACAACTTTGAGCTCTGGCAGCAATGACAATGGCGGTTACTTTGTGGGAGTCAGGAAGAGATTCTGGTTTTGCCAGAGAGCATGGAAAGAGCAAGAAGACAACGAAGCTGGCAGAGCACCTGCGTGCACGGAGACGGGCAGTGGAGGGGACCCAGAGTAAGGCTGCGGAGAGAGCAATGGGGCCAGTAGGTGCGGAGGACAGAGGCTGAGGGCCGGGCCTGGGAGAACCCCACAGAGAGGGAGGAGCAGAAGGAGCCAAGGGAAGAGCAGCCACAGAAAAAGGCCCGGGAAAGCAGGCAGGGACCCTTGAGGAGGGTTCACCGGTGAGGCTGGGGGGCCAGCCCACAGAGGTTGAGGCCGGACCCAGAGAAGAGGAAGTGAAGACGAACACGCAAACATACACTTTCAAATGTGTGGTGGTCAAAGGCAGGCATGGGTCATATGACGAGGAGCAAGTGTGAGGGAGGAATTTTAGGGGAAACACTAACATCTGTAGCCAGTCAGGAATAGACCACAGGGCAAGAGAAGTACCCACTGATGAGGGAGCAGCCCGGAGCCGGAAGAACACTCTGGAGCACTGGGGGCCAGGCCGGGGGTGCTGGTGCTTCCTCTGGGACTCGGGAAGCCTCAAAGCAGGCAGGCGGGCTGAGCGGTGGGGCCCTTGCAGGGAGGGGTGGGGGTATCAGGGAGCCCCACAGACAAACACAGCACCCAGAGGTGCAGCATCAGCTCAGCTAACGTGAGAGAACAGGAACCTGGCCAGCTTTCAGGCTGTGAGTGACAGGAGCAGAGGACCACGAACAACCAGACTCCCAACCAGAGCAGGGAGTGTTGGGGGGACTAGAGAACAAGACCAGACAGGGGAGCAGGGCGGGAAGGGCGGGAACCTGCCCAGCAGGAGCACAAACTAGTTTCAGAGGCTGGGGCTCTACAGGGCAGGGAGGACCGGACAGCACTCCTGGTGCCCATGGGGTTGACGGCAAACCCAACAGCCCCTTCGGGAATTTCAGGTCGGGCCATAAAGGAGAATGAGAACAGACCCCTGTCACCGCCAGCTGAGTGACGTTGGGCCCCTCACTTTACTTTTCAGCTGTGCTCGGTGAATGGGGGCAGTCACTGCGACAGCCAGGATCTCTAGAGGCACCTGAACACTACCTCGGTGACCTTTGCTAAGCCCTGACCAGGGAGCAAAGATATGCACCCCACCCCCTGCAGTTGTCCCCACACGGGGACGAAGTCACAGCCGGGCTGAGGGGCACAGGGAGGGAAGAACAGTCAATGGAAGAACAGTACCTTAATGAGCGTGGGGGTGGGCTTGGCAGTGGGGACCGTGGTTCCGTTGGTGAGGCTGGGGGGCAGAGGAGGCTGCTCCGCCAGGAAAAGCGTTTCTCCAGAATCTGGGCCCACTGGGAGTTGAGACACAACCTGGGAGAGAAGGGGAAGTGAGGGGGGCACAGCCATCTCCAGGTGGCAGTGCATCCAGTCCTGCGCTGCCTGGAGGTGGGTGACAGTCACTTCCTTAGGTGCCATCGCTGTTGGGGCAAAGGGAACTAGAAGAGGGAGAGACAGAGGGTGGTCGGGGTGGGCCAAGGAGGCTTATGAACCACAGGGGGCCCAGGGTCCTCCCTGGGACCACGGGCTGGCTGGAATGGCCACCTGCTGCTGACATGTCCCTTCCCTGGAGCAGCCAGCTCTTGAGCTACCAGGGCAACACCCCCTCCTACCCCATCTCACCTAGTCCAAGCAAGGGGCCCCAAACTGGGCAGCCCCAACAAGTCTGGGGCCCATAGGAGTAGGCCAGCTCACCTGAGTGGGGGGTACAGAGGTGGCACTGGGCAGTGGCTCGCTGACTCGGGCTTCCAGGGGTGATGGCACTGAGCCCTGGGACTCATGGCTGGCAGGCTGCTCGGGAGATAGGGCATCACTGCTGTCCTCATCGAACGAAGAGCTGTCTGCTACCTTCGGGTAATTCACCTGGCCCACTGAAAGTCAAAGCCAGCATAAGAGTCCACCTCAGGCCCCAGGGAAGGGGAAGAGGGGCCCTGCTCACCAACTGGAGGCTGTCCCAGCCAGCCCAGCCCCCTCGGCTCCCCGGCCCCAGCCCAGCAGCAGACAGGAGAAGGGAGACCAGCAGCCAACCTGCGTGGTGGGTCCAAAAGAGCTCTAGGAAAAGTGCATCACCACGACTTCAAAACTAAGGCTGGAAAGAGTCCCACTAGCCCATTACAGTGCTCCCCTGGGCAAGGCAAGACCTGACCTTTCACCTCTTGCTTTTAACTCTACACTGCAGTCAGTCTTGAAAGTTTTCCACTCCCTCCCTCCAACCTGCTACCTCCTCTGCTTCAGTTTCCCTGCTGTTAAAAGTACTTTATTTCCATCCTGTGGCTGCACACAAAACTCTCCTCTTCCCCACAGGCTTGTGGACCCTGCAGTGAGGGCTCAGAGTCAGTAGGAGGGACCTGTGGGGCACAGGTAACAGCCTCAGAACAGCGGCTCCCCCGCCGGCTGCCTAAACAACAACCAGGAGCGGTCCGGGTAGCCTCTTGGAAAAGGAACACTTGCCTGTCCAGGTGAGAAGACAGGACCATTAGAAAGATGGTGACCTACCCTTAGTGACTCCCAGAGACCCAAGACCACCAGAAGAAAACCCATCCTTCAAGGCTAAAACCACCTGCCCTGCTCCACCCTGGGCTGGGAGGGACATGGCGCAGGTGCCTCTGGGGCTGGCTGGGGCCAGGCTGGGAAGGAGGAGCAGGAGGAACAGGGTCCTAGTTGGGAAATCCCAGGATCCAGAGAAAAGGCAAGATGGTAACAGGGACAAGTAGAGCAATTCCAAAGACCCACGTCACAACCTCCACCTCAGCACTGTCGGGGGAAGCAGTTCTGCACCAGGCCGCTGCCCGCCCAGAGGAACCAAGGCAGTGACCACGGCACAGAGGTCAGCTGTCAGCCACACCTGCAAATCTGCTATGGTGGCAAAACCACAGAAAAGAAGCAAGAATAAGCCGGCAACTCTCCCAGCAGACTCTTTCCCTCCAGGGCCATGACCTGAGGCTCTCTCCTCTCCTGGGGCCTGGGAAGGAAGCCCATGAGTCTGTCCCTCCACCAGCCCACTGTGGTGATGGAGCCAGGTGTGCCCATGGCCAGGCTGGCTCACAGCCCTCGCATCTGTCCCGGCAGGGGCACACGCGCAGTGCACGCGGGGAATGGAAGTTGCTGGCTGGAGAAGCCAGAACTGACCTCAGCCCAAACGCTGGCCTGTAAACTGGGGGCTGTTGTGCAGTGTGGTGCGGACCTGGGTAGGAAAACACTGAGATGAGATGGGATGGAAGCCAGGGCAAAGCCATGAGTTACAAGGGCTGGCAGGAGCCCAGGGAACACCTGCCCCCGGCCAGCATGGTGGCTGCCTCCTGCCCTGTCATACCACCGTCTGCAGTGCACAGTGTCCTCTGACCCAGGGCTCAGGGCACAACTCGCCATGCTTTGGGGCCCACTCCTGTGGCTCCCCTCCGGTGCCATGCCCAAAGTCTAACTCTTGTGGTGGGAGCAGTCGAGCCTCCTCTCCCTGAACCCATAGCTACCTCCAAGGGCAGGGACACACAGCCTTGTCTGTTCAGGTTTGGGGCCCACTGTTGCAAAGCAGACATGTCTGTACCAGCACTCACCGAATTTAAGGGAAACGTGTCTGACCACCTGACCGTGGCACAGGAAGCCCTGCCCGTCCCGGATTCTGCCTCTCCTTTGGGCTCCGCATCCTCCTCTGCCTCGCTCCCATGCATGCACTTTACTTCCTGCTCACCCTGCAGCCCCAGTCTTGGCTGTCGCCTCCTCTGACACTGCACCCCACTGTCAGGGCAGGGGTGGGGGGCCCTTTCTGTGTGTGCCGCCCAGCACGGCTCTTGCTTCTGCCTATTTTAGCTGCCTGTGTCTGCTTCTAGATGTAAGCTCTGGAAGGACAAGGGGCTCGGTCTGCCTGGTGGGGCTGTGGTCCTAGCACCAAGCACACTGTTTGAATCAATCAATATTTCAAAAGTAAAACATCTGTGGAAAGTGCCAGGTGCCAAAAAGAGATTTCATTAATAAAAACAAGCAGTATGGTACAGATTTCTAATTTGTGACACCTCTGCATGTTCACATACATAGATCGTGACATCCCTCAGCCCTGTGGGAGAAGAATAAGCCCAGAGTTGAAGGTAGACAGAGGCCTCTTTGTCATTTACTTAGCCATTTTGGCACGGCACTATCCCAAGCTAAGACAACCTGTATAACAGGCTCTCACACTCTGCACCTCAGTTCCCCAAGTCAGAGCAGGAAGTCAAAGGGCAAGAAACGCAGAGGGCCTTCCCCCTGCATCTGGCCTGCAGGCCCACACAGGGTGTCTGGGGCCTCCTCACCAATGATGGCTTCTTTCAAGCTGGACTCCACAGGCAGGATGTTCTTCTCCACCAACTCCATGGGGCCAGGTCTCTGTGCAATCTTCTCGTTGAGGTCGTCGGCCAGTCTGGCTCTCTTTAGCTTTAGCTGCTTGGCCTGAAGGGAAGGCTCGGCCGAGGTCTCTGCCCGTGGGAGAGAATGGAGTGCAGGATGTAGGAATGGATCTGGTTTTGCCCTGTGAACCCCAGAGCACCTCTCCTTTCCTCTGAGGAAGGAGCAGAGGCTATCAGAATGCAAAGCATATCCCAGGCAGTAAAGTAAAGGGTGGCCCACTTAAAGTTTCACAAGGACAGAAGAAGAGGCCCCCACTGTGAGCAGTCAGTGTGTGGTCACACATGACAGTTCAGTGGTCTCTACTCTCCCTCAAGCTCTGTGTTACGGGAGCAATTCACCCTCCTGCTTTGGGCCTCGGCGTCTTCATCTGCAAAACGTGGGGGTTCAGACTAGGAAGGTTCTCTTCCAACCCCAAAGGTGGTTTAAAACTACAGCAAAAAATGGGCAGATTCACACTGCTTTCAGTAGCCAAAATCCTTCCTTCACTAGAATGTAGAAAGAAGCAGGAGCTGGAGCCAGGCCGAGTATGTCTAGGATGATCTTATTTGTACATCACAGGTGCTCAAGTAAATGCTGATTGAATGGATGAATGAATCAATGAATGAATGAATGAATGGAAAAGAGAAAGCAAATGCATTTTAAAAACAGGTTTTAGAGGAAAGAACTTTGTGTCAAGAGAGGAGATCCAGAGCCACCACATGGCCACAGGAGAAAGGGGTAAGCCGACCCAACAGAATGCGACTGTGACTCTCTGGGAACTCCCACAGCCCAGTGACGGCGGCCGCGGCACTGCCGTTTCACCGAGCCGAGGCTCCGGCTCACCCACCGCCTACAGAAATGGGAGTGATAGGAAAGGGAAGAAGAGATGTGGGTGGTGAAGCAGGGAACAGGCAGTGACCACAAGGGTTTAGAAGCATTTGCATTATAACGCACCTTCCAAAATGTGCATCCTGACCAGCTCCGATCTCTCTGGCCGGGAACGAATCTTGCGTTTCAGATAGTCCTCTGTCTACAGAAAAAACACACCAAGAAGCTATCAAACCCAGGTCGTAAGCTTATGGCATGGAAAGACCAAGAAGGACTGTAGCTGTTGGTCACCTCTGCAGCCCCCATGACCTCAGCCCAGGGATGGCAGGGTCTGAGGCCTGGGGAGGCCCCATCCACTTCCAGCTGCACCTGCCAAGGGCACCAGCCATCTGTCGAAACCTTTGTTATTCTGAGGTCAAACTACTGATATATATTTTTTAAGTCTATTACTTTTACTGTCATAAAAGTAATATATGTTCATCAAATAAAATGGAAAATTAAAAAGTAAAAATAAAATATTTTAATCATCCACTGCTAATATTTTGGGATATTTGCTTATAATCATTCTTCCACAAAGGCGACAACTTGATTTTGTACAGTTGTAATCATACTGAATATAGTTTTTTATATCTATTTTCCAAAATTTTTTTATGATCTCATAAACAGTTTCCATTCATTTTGAATGACTACCAAGAAGAACACTAATTTTGATACATGGTGTCATAGCTCCAGTTCCTCAAAGTCCAAGGTCCACATTTCCTCATTTCTGAGGCTCCAAGCAAACTAAACGGTTTTGTCACCAGTCCCAGAACCGCCCCCACTGCCTGGCGCTCCTGTTAGAGTATGTTCACGTGGCCCCAGATCCATCTGACACCAGAACCTGGGCTCTTAACCTCTGCGCCAGAAAAACTTCAAACCATATTTCAAGGCCATCCGTGGTTCAAGACCAGCAGAGGAAAAGACAGGATGAGGTAAAGCAGGGTAGGGCAGAAATAAAAAATAAAGCATTAGGCTACACTGCATGCAGCAAAGGAAAAGGCCTTGCTCTGTCCTGCTGGCCCCCGTCAGCTGCATGGGCTCTGACTGGACAGCCAGTGCCAGCCCTGGGGTAGTGCAGAGCCCTCCAGGAGGTGGTTTAAAGTGGGGGTAGGTTTTGCCCACCCCATGGGCAGAGGGCAGAAAAAGTGGTCTGGCTGCTGTAGAAGATGCTAAAACAGGTGTTAGATGCTACAGATCTCCACAGCCCTCAGAGGATGGCATGTTCGCTAAACTACCTGAAGTTCTGGGCAGTGCCCAGAGCCAAGACAGAGTACAGTACTGATTAAAAAAAACCTGGAGTCCACAGACCAAAGAGTGAGTCCCAGCTTTGCTACTTGCTGGCTGGACAAATTACTTAAAACTTTCTGAGCTAAAGCTATAAAATAAAGATAGTAATACCTAATTCATAAGAGCTAGTATGAGCATAAACAAGAAAATGATATATTTTCACATATAAAAATGCCCAATAGCCCTGGCTGGTTTGGCTCAGTGGACTGAGCACCAGCCTGCAATCCAAAGGGTCGCTGGTTCGATTCCCAGTCAGGGCACATGCCTGGGTTGCAGGCCAGGTCCCCAGTAAGAGGCACATGAGAGGTAACCACACATTGATGTTTCTCTCCCTCTCTTCTCCCACCCTTCCCCTCTATATAAAAGTAAGCAAAATATTTTTAAATGCCCAATAAATAGTAGTTGCTTTAACTGGCTCACAGTTACTCCTTGCCTGCTGGAGAAGCAGCCAGGAAATGGGCTGGGGTGCAGACAGTGCCATTCCTTCTCTACCCGCGCTGTACTGGCCGACACTCACAGCACTAAAACAGTACAGTTTGTTATTGCTTTGGTTCACTCTAAGAATTAATCATGACTTTCCTCAGAACATTAAAAAAATAAATTTAAAGAGAAGGCAGTAAGAAAAGCCTTGAAGATAAACATTTCAAGCTCTGAAAGAGCTGTGGGTCTTAGGATACCTCAGCCGGTGGTCCTCCCTTGGGGAGCTTCTCTTCCCTTGTCTTTTACGTGAAAGACCAAAGTGCAGGGAGCAAGAGGGGGAAGCGTGTTTTGGCAACTTCCTAATCTCGGCCCACAATGGGCAGCAGAATATTCCCCTGAGGCTCCTGAGGGAACTGAAACCAAGGAGGGACAGCAGCAGCCAGGTGTGAAGCATGAACCTGGGCTCAGAGTGGGGCCCCAGCTTCTGCTTCCACAGCCTCGAATGGACACTGGCGGCTCAGGACACATGAAGACCAGTGAATGCCCATCCTGAAAGGCGTGAGCAGCACAGCCACTGCCATGGAGGGACCACGGCTAGTGTCGTGTCCTAACATTTACAAGTGGTTAAGGTGGAATTAAAAATGGGAAAATACAAGTGGTCTCCAAAGCAAGAGGAGGGAGGATCAGTGATCACTACATACTCTTAAACCTGAGTGGTAAAGAAGAAAACTCACTCTGGTCCTGTTCCGTGTTCCATGGCATCACTCTGGGAGATGGCAAGGGGTGGGGATGAGCTAGAACACGGAGAGCTCTCTATTTGGAACTGTGAGGCCAGGGCTGACCCTGGAGGTAAGCCGGGAAGGAGCGTAACCAGCAATGCAAGGTGCCTGGACAATGCTCTCGCTAGAGGTTCTGGAGAAGAAGACAGTGCCTTACCCTGGCCCGCTCCAAGCTCCTTCTCTGTTCATGAAACGCAGCTGGACTTTTCAAAGCTGTTGGGAAAAGAATCACGAAGAAATTACTTTATTACTGAAGCATCATGTCTACTGCTACAATTTACTGTGGAGAAGACATCTTAAATTCAAGTTAACTTTAGTGGTACTATTAATATCAGCTGAAATGAAGAAAAAAGTGGCACCCAAGCAAGAGTATGTCTTCATGGTTCAGCTACCCCATTAAAATGATTTTGGTTATTTGTTCCTGATAGGAATAGTCCCTGACCTAGGTTGGGCTTCATAAAGTGAACCCATCAAATATAACTTTAAAAAATATCCTGGGCCCATTAGCTGGACTGTTAGGGTACAATCCTCATTAACTGACCAATCTCTGAGAATAGCTCCTGGGCCTCCCCTCGCTCTCAGGGAGGGTCAGAGCTGCACGGCAGATCCGCCTGACTTCAGCCTCATGAGAAACCACAAAGTGACCAAACTGAATGGATCGGTTAAACAAACAGACATGTCTACTTGGGTGCCATTTCTCCTTCACTTCAGCTGATATTAATAGTGCTGCTAAAATTAACTTGAATTTCATCTCTAAGGACTAAAGGAACTTCACGGAGATTGTATGTTTGACCCTGGTGCACACACACAACCAGCAGCTGACAGGCAGGGCTCACTGCAGCCCTCGTCAAGGACTCCACTCTGTTCTGAGGCCACCACCAAGGGGCCACAGCTCTGGACTCAGCAAACAACAAACACTGAGGGTGGGAGACCAAATAGGACCCTCTACAAATATGGCACCAGGACAAGAATTCTGTGTCAGAAACTCAGCTATAGGGACAAATGATGACTTGGGGCACCCTAAGGATAAGAGGGTGAAAAGCCTGACTCAATTCAAGTAAGGAACAATAGCAATAAAAGAGAAATTTACAACAGTGGTTAGTTTCACTTCTGCGGCCCTAGAATTTCAGAACAGCTGTGAAACTGTGAGAGGAGATAACTTTTGCTGGGCTGCCGGCTGTGGTAGAAGAGCAGCGGTAGGGAGATGCTAAAAGTAGCAAGAGCATAGATATGACCCTATCCTGCCTGGGCCTTTGTACTTCCTCCCTCCATCCCAACCCCAGCCCCCGCCCAGGGGGTGAGGGGGCTGGGCTTCAGCAATAGCAGTCCCAGAACAAAGTTCCAAATGTCCCAATAATACTTTTTTAAAAATTGTTTTTAATCTTAGTATTAAAAAGAAACTACCTTAAAAGATCAGTTGAGAGCCCACCCCATCTTCTAACAGCAGGGGGAGCTCTAGATTTAACATGTTCTCTTTAAAAAAAAAAGGCACAGGCTCCCTCCCCAACCCACTAGAGCATGAGGGCACCATCCAGACTACCCCAACTCTGCTCTGGGGAGGTCTTGGGCATCTCAGTGGGTAAGCAGACAGCCCCTGCACCTGCTTCTACTGGGTAAGGATGGTTCAACTCCAAAATCAGTCTCCAAAAGCCCTGATATGTAGAAATCTGTACTAGGCATGATGGACCAGGGCATGCATTCATAGCCTTATTCTCTCCTTGGAGAACTTACCACATGGATAAGACAAGAAGTACAAAGAATCAGAAAGAAAAGTCAGTGTCTGGGGGGGAGATGGGGTGGGGGGGTGGGATGGGAGAAAGAGATTTAAAAAAAATGTACTTGAAAAGTAACTAAATAAAATTCATTAAAAAAAAAAAAAAAAAGAAAAGTCAGTGTCTGACCCACCCAACCCCAGCTTCCTTTCTGCCTTATTTTTCTCCACAGCACTCATCACCAGCTGACATTCTTCACAGCAATACTGCAACTATCCTTATTTGTGTATTGCCAGCCTTCTGCCAGTAGGAGAGGCTTCATCAGGGTGGGGCAGGGGCTCTGTCCACTTCTTCCACTTCTGACAGTACCCCCAGTGCCTAGAGCACCCAGGACGTAACTCACCCAGTGAGTCACTGAACAAAGAAACCAACCCAAAGTGCACGTGCGGCAGGAGAGCAGGGAGACTGCGAGCGCACCAACTTTCCCTGCACAGCCAGTACTGGGGCCGTCATCTGGGTTCAAAACCCCACAGAAGTCCCAGACAGAAAACCAAGGCATTCATATTCTTGTCCTGGGTTTTACCAATTACTACTGGGGTGCCACAGGGTATGACTATTTGGGGGTCTCATTTTCTTCTTCTGTGGAGTGAGAATCTGTCCACCTCTCAGAACTCTCACAGGAGTCAAATGAGAACGTGCTCTGAAGCAAGTGATGCCTTGAAGGTGCTGCTGTCATCAAACATGGTGACTGGGCGGAATCGTGGGTTTGATTCCCACACAGGTCAGCTAGTTTCTGCACCACAGTCGCACACCCTCCGTCTAAACACCCAGCCGGCTTGCTGCCAACACAACCTGCGCCGGCTGTCCCAAGGGCTAAGGCATAGATCCAACTTGTAGAAAAACAAGCCATGAAGTCCGGAGTTCGATGGAGGGGGAGCGTATCGTTTTCGTGTACAAGAACGATGATGCAGCACTACTGGGGATACGTGGCAGGTGAACTTGGCTGTAGTGTCCATAACTGAGTTAAGAAAGTTTTCACATCAAAGCAAGGAAGAGACTGCTGTGTGGCAGGCACTGTTCTAGATCATTTAACTTTCCTAAAGATTCTATGTGGTAGGTACCATTCCATTTTACAGATAAGAACAGACTCAGGAAGGGCAGGAAAGACTAGCTAATGGCAGGGTTAGGATTACAACCTAACTGTCTCACCCTCAGGTTAGAGTTCTTTCTACTCCTCTGGGTTGGTTTCTTAACTTCTTCAAAAAGTAGAGAAGAATGACCCCACTGGATGGGGAGGCAAGGAGGCCTCAAGGACACACACTGCCTTGAGGTAGGGCTGAACGCACGCAACGTGGAAAGGTCAGCTCAGCCACAGTACTGAGCACGAGTAGGTGTAAGGAAGGTTCAGAAGAGGGGTTAAAGTGACTGCAGGCGCAGAAAGCCATGGTTCAAAATATGGGGCCCCCTGTGGGACTTACGGGGCAGCCAGGAGGTGAGCTGGGAGGGGAATGAGAACCCCAGAGGAACTCAAGAGCTAGCTGCTCAGAGCTTGGTAAGAGAACTGAAAATGAGGACCAAGAGAAGAATTCAAGATGGGGATTACCAATTCCAAAAGACAATTCCTCACAGTAGGAACCAGTATTCTAATTTGATATGTGATAAAACCAACACTGCAGCAGGCTGTGAGGTCATTCACTGAGTGGTGGGCCACAACCCAGGCCAGCTCTGTCTCCCACTCTTCCTTCTCCAAACAAACCTCCTCACAACTGTGCCACTTTCTCCCAGTCCTTGAACAGCCCCTTCACTTTGCGCTGCCCTCCCCATTCCTTTTTTGATTGTCATTCAACTGCAGTTGTCCCTATTTTCCCCCATTACTCTCCTCTGCCCACCCCCTCCCCATTTCTAACTATGCTCTCTTATAGCAAGGTCAGCAATTCAACAGCAAATGTAATAGATGAAGGGGGTAATGACCCCTCGTCCTTCAGGATTCTGTAAAGAGTCCTATAAGGCACTTCTCATGTGGGTACAGACCGGAGCTGGGACAGTCAGTGCTTGTGGTACCCTGGGCTGTGGGGTTGAGAGGGCATCCCTCCGAGTGTCCAGCCAGCTCTGTTCAAGGCCACAGCTGCAGAGGGTAGGAGGAGATGTAAGGGTGATAAAAAGAAAAGCCCTGGGCTCTCTTGATGTAGGAGCAAATGGCAGTCGCCTCAAGCTTCTGTGCTGAGGGAATGAAACATAAGGCAGGCCAGCAGAGCAGAAAATAGGGTTTACTTTAAACTTCTGCTACTTGTGGAAAAATCCCAAAGATACATCGTTAACCCATAAATGCGCCTGACCAGGAGGCGACATTCCTCTTGGACCGCCACCTCCCTCCTCCTTGCCACCTTAATGGTTTTCTCAGAGTAGCCAGGCTATTACTCAGAAATTTCATTTTCCCAGAAAGAGAAGCCCCCCAAGACCACTGCAAACCCTAGAACTGTGTGTACAGTTTATAGGAATATACATCTGTGGCGCTGGAAGCAGTTCTGAACCTTCACTCCCACTCTCCAGGAGCTGATTCTGCTGGAACACTTGCACGGCTTTGTGTGAGCAAAGGGCAGTGCGCAGCACGTCCTGAAAGGAAAACAACCAAGCTCCCCTAGGAAGTCAAATGCACAGAAGTGGCTGGGAGGTATGGGTTCTGAACCACAGTTTCAGTTCTAGATGTGGGCCCCGCCCCTGGCTGGCTAAAACCACCCATTAATACTTTGTTCCCTCTCTCCAGCACGTATTTTCTTTATCCCCTTACCCGTTTGCTCCATTACTTAAATGAGGTCACTGTGAACTAAAAGGAAATAAATGTTTTTAACTTTGTTTTTGAAAATACACAGTCATCCCTCGGTATCTGTGGGAGATTGCTTTCAGGATGCCCCATGGACACCAAACTACCCTCGTATAAAATGGCACAGTGTCTGCGTATAACCTATGCAATCCTCCTGTATACTCAATTTTTTTTTAAGATTTTATTTATTTTCAGGTAGAGAGGAAGGGAGAGAGAAAGAGAGGGAGAGAAACATCAATGTGTGGTTGCCTCTCACACACCCCCTACTGGGGACCTGGCCTATAACCCAGGCATGTGCCTAACTGGGAATCAACCAGTGACCCTTCGGTTCCCAGGCCAGCACTCAATCCACTGAACCATATCAGCCAGGGCCTCCCTTATACTTCAAATCATCTCCAGACTACTAATAATACTCAATACCATGTAAATCAGTCATTATACTACACTGCTTAGGGAATAAGGACAAGAAAAGAAAGTCTGTACCTGTTCAGCACAGACACAACCACCATAGGCCTAACTACACAGTACACATCAGCAACCACGTAACATTATTTTCTGGAAGATTTTCAGCCCAAAGTTAGTTGAATTCATGGATGCAGAACCTGGAGATGAGAAGGACAAACTGTACTGCCATCACTTCCAAGGGGAGCTCAAAGCTGTGCTCAGTGCGTCTACAGGCT